TTGTCCATTTTAAAGATAGTAGGAAGTATAAAATTCTAGCCAAGAATTCCAATGATAAGGCGTCGGTTTGTCCTTATAAGGCAAAGCAAAGATTAAATGGACAAATAGAAAAGAATCATATAATTTTTAAGACACTAAGGCACTCAAAGCTTACGATGTCCCAGAGTTGCATAATAATTGGTTATCCTTAGGAGAACCGTCATCCCTGAGATTTCACGACTTTAAAGTAGAAATCTAAGTGTCTGAATATTTGATAGTTAATCGAAAGGATGAAGACCAAGATGTGGCCTTTTGTACGGTCGCGGTCTCCTACTGTTGTATAGAAGTTGTTTGATTCTAGAGAAGAAGCTTGAGATAATGAAGAGATAAATCTGAGCAAAGCTTAAGTGGGGAGATCACATACTATCCATGAACGGCACCTATATGTTCTTTTATATAAATGTTTGTGAACAAACGGGAGGACATGAAATAATAACCTAATTCTCTGTCATTTTAGAAAATAATTACATTATTAAATTCGAGGGAATCTTAATTAAAAAAGTGTATTGACTCCAAAAGTTAGTAAGATATATGGATGATTACTATGTTAGAAACAGACAGACAAGAAGCAAAAATAAGCTTACAATCGAATAATGATAAAAGTTTACTATTTTAGATGGTTCGGTTAATAATGAAGAGGCTAAATTGAGCAGAAATATTTAGAGAAAATCGATATAGGCTGAATTAATCCAAAATCTTCTCCAGATTCATACTTAGTAAATGAAAAATGACATAGGAAAATTAATAATTAATAGGAATGTAGGGAAGGTGGATATAAAATATTAGAATAAGACGTTAGAAAGAGTTTAGCAGTTTTCGGTATGGCCAAGTCTCCACGACTTGGGAAGAGGCATCAGGGAGACCTTAAAGAAAGTGCCTCGTACAGCATATTTTACCAGTGCCTTCCGACACCGGACCATTGATTTTGTACATTCCCAAGCATTTTGCCGGTATCGTCAGTGAGCCTTGTCAGCCTTAGCTCAGAGTAAAACCCTCTAGAAACAAGCAAATTCTATATTATAAACAACTTTCTAGTGAAAATTTGTGGCATTTATCATACTTCAACCGTTGTAGTCTGCTCTACTTCAGAGGAGAGATATGAAATTGGATGCCGAGAGCAAGATGTATGATCATAAAGGAGTTAGGCGAAGTTATTCGAATAATCAAAAGGCCAGGGAGGAAAAGCAATTTTGGCACAGAGGGAGGCAAACTAGTGAGGGATATGATTACATTTCGCTGAACATACTAAAAACTATGCACCTCTGGGCAGATCAAATTAAATAAGGTATAAGTCGTAGTTGAGAAAGTGTCTACTAGAATAGGAGATGTAACACAACCGTTCAGCAGAAAATTGGCTGTTACCAAACTCACTTGCTTCTGGCGATTTGCGACCATG